TGGGCGTGTGCCAAAACAAGATGGAAAGAAAGTGTTAAAAGGGAGCTCTAGAAGAACTAATGACCATTGACAAAACCTGAGATTAAGGGGCCCAATGTGGCATCAAGGTTTGATACAAATGATTTTTGAAACCTCATGGAATGCTGAAACACTGGAAACCTGTATCAAAAGTGGTGTCACTGATACAGATGAAAACTTGTGTGATGGCTATGTCTGTTTGAAATCTTTTCATCCCAGCTTTTTTCTCTGAAGAAATATTTTACTCTGTACCTAACATTTTTGCATGAAAAGCCTGTTACTGAAAAGCTATAATGGAAAAATATTTTTCTTTAATATGGCACATGTAAGATTGCTTTACAAAATCTTCCCAAGTTACATTTATGTGACATAAAAGTGGCTGGCTTTATAAAAGAAATATTCAAGAAAATTGTAATCCTCTGCTATAAAAATGTTCTTGCACTAAACTAAATCAGTAGTCATGCTGACGTACATCAGGAGATTTAATAGTCTTGCTGAGCAGAAAAGGTTATCAAGTCTCTGAAGAACAAGCATATCGGCCACTAGTCTCAATTCAATTTGTTACGAACCTAATTGGTTCCAAATAAATTTATACTATAACCTATTTATATTTCAGTTTATTTCTACTACTGTATTACACAGAATTTTCTGTAGAGAAAGAGTTTCTTTCCTTATTTCCCATGCATTTTGGGTGTAAGCAGAGAATTCGTGGACTTGAAATTTCCTGCAGTATTGGTGAATAGTTGAATAACTGTTCAGATATTTGTTTTATTGTAATGTTTGCTGAGTACTGATTTTATGGAAGATGACAGATGCATCTGCTTAATTAAGCAGAAGCATTAAACAGAAGAACTGTGCTTTCGAATGTCGATATTTATGTTTTATGGATGGTATTGGGTTTAAGGTAACCAAACCCTAAGAAATCTAAAAAAAAATAATTTTTTTCCTAATTTTATCCAAACTTGTCTCACATTTGATACTTTTTATGGTTCTAGGATCTCTCTATTGCAAATGCTTTAAAATATAGTCTCTTTAGGCTAATATTTTAACTATATTTCATCATCCCTTTTTAATATTGCTCAGGCTTCATTCCAAAGCTAGAGAGATCTGAGGTCTTTTTTTACGTGTTTTTTTTTCATTCTTACTGGGGTGCCATTCCACAACTTCTATCCTGTAATGGTTGGAAACAGTTCTATTAATTTGCAGCCTCCATTTATTCATGGCCAGAGTTTCCTCACTTGTTCTTGTGACAATATTCTCATAGTATTTAAATAGCTCTTCATCTTTTCTTTAACTTGCTCTGGTTAAACCTCAGATGTATGTTGAGATGTTAGTTGTTTCCTAAAGTGGTTGTTTTTTTTTTTTTTTTTTTTGTCAGGCTAAACAAGCCAAGTTCTGCTTTTCTCTTAAAATAGGCTTTCATGCTGTAGGTCATCCTGATAGCCCTAGGCTGCTGTGAATCAGTCTTTTGTGGAAATAACTGAGCAAGTTTTACCCTGTGCACTAGATGAAGGCTCACACACAAGTTTTACCATCTTTAGTACTATCTCACTCTGTGGGACCTTCTTGCCCCAAGTGAATCCTTTCTTATTGCTTCAAAACATTATGACTTGTAATTGTCCTGTGATTGCCAATATTTGCAAGTCTTTCTTTCCTTCTGCCACTCAGAAGGGAACATTTTTGTTGCTCCTATTTGAATGAAAGATGTTTCACCTTGTGCAATTAAAGTAAATCCCTTCTCCGTTTCTCCAGATGTCCAGCTCTCCTTCTATCCAGATCCCCTTCTGCACGAATAGTGCCTATGGGCTTTGGGTCGTTAGAGCACTTCATTGCCATGGGTCTTGTTTGTTGTAGCAAGAACATTATTCCTATTGGTGGTTCCCTTAGTCATTAGTCAGCTATACTAATAGCCTTCCTTGGGGCTGTACTTCTCCCTTCTTCACAAACCCCTGTCATCTGCCCCTTGGCCAATTACCTAATTACAATCTTATCCTGTCAATTTTTTCTATTCTATGTATTGCTCTAGAGGTACAGGTAGGTGAGGTTTACAGCACTTTGTTTATCTAGAAAGTTCTGTATCTTGAAATAGCTTTTTGCAGGAATTAAATCATTGTTGTGGAGCAAGTATGTTGGTAAGCTGTTTTTCCTTCTCACAGTCCACTTCATTTCTTCTGTTTCTTGTATGAATTTCACCATAGTGTGGTGCGTAGTGAAAGCCACTGAAAGAATCCTTACTTCGGCATACACTTCACTTGCAGTGTACCTGTTATAACTGTCAGGCTGTAAGTATTAATTGGAAAGTACAATAACAGGTATTAGAACAACTTAGGTAGAAAACAATGCTTAATTTTCATTCTGCTGTTCAAATGAACATGGAGCACTTTGTGTTCCTCCTTACTGAATTCAGCCACTCTTTGTGTACAGGGAGGCTGAAGTGATGGCAATGCAGAAAGGGGCCTGATTAGAGGATGCCAAGCTCAGCTTTTATTTTGAAATCCAAATATCTTGGTTTTCTGTCTCTGACTGGGTGAACAGTTTCACTGCAGGGTTTCCTGAGAAGCCAGGATTAAGTGCATTAATGCAAACTGCTTTGGAGTAATACACAATTAGCAGCAGTAATTGTAACCTCAGTGTCAGCAGACAGAAAGGCACATGCCTTCAGGGTGAGACAGGGTCCCATTAAACACCAGTGACAGGGCTGTCACCAACCCCACCTGCCCTGAACCTCATGCTGGGGCCGTGTTAGCAGCAGTGAGACCGGACCTGCCTGGCTCCCCTTAAGGACCCACGTCAACAGTGAAAACACGTAGATTTGCTTCTACTTACTGCTGATTTTAGCAGGTGAGTGGCAAGAGTGCATGACACTATGAACTCCCCATCTTCCTTTTGTTATGGAAGCCCAGCTCCAAGTCCCTCTTGGATGGCACAGACCAAAACGCATAGTTTAAACTTTGCAAGTTTAACTTGTATCATACAAACACTGTATGATACAATTTAGAACTGCTGTAGTGCATCATTATTATCAGCTCAGCATGCTGTTCAGCATGTTCTTAAATCCATAACTGATTTGTGCATCTGTCACACCAGTACATACCTAGGTCAAATATACAGACTGAAAGAAGCTCATAATATTCAGCAAGTCATGCTGTATTTTTGAAAAGTTGGTTCAAAAAGCGTGTCCTTAGTAAAAATTAGAGCAAGGGTGAGAAAGAAAAATGTTAAAGCAAATGTGTTAAGCCTGTGAGATAAAGCACATGAACAATGTATTGCAATATAAATCATCTAATCCATAGTTGTTGTCTGTAACAAATGCAATATAATTGGAAATATTTTGACTTATAAGAAAAGTTAATTAACCCATGGTTCTTCTTCTTGGTCATATACTAATACAGTTTCAGCATGATTGTAGTTTTCTGTCAGTGACTGGGAACATATCCAGGGAGAAAAATCAGGATTTAAATGCCTACTCAGGGTTTAAAGAGGGCCTTGAGCCCAGGCCTCCTGTGCTGCAGTCTCTAACTGCTAAGAACGATGGTAAAAAAGGACTGGTGATTGGATGTGTTTTTGAATGAATATTCAGGATCCTGTGCTTTCTTGGGGTTTCTGTGTTGTGAGTATGTGTTATTTTGTGCCTTGAGCATGCCTATTGGCTGGACTCATTGCTCATAGTTTAGGTGCAAGATGACTGATTCTGGTGTTGCAGACAGGCTTTGCTGTGAGTTGGGAGGCTTTACATTTAAAAAACCAAAGTGCCTGTGGATGCTCAGGTACCCAAGCAGAAATCTCACTCTTGAACTATAAACATTTTGATACTTCTGCTATTTTGGGACCAAGGCACGGAGCAGCTCTGCAGTGTTTTGCACATGCAATCCATATTTGATAAGCAACACTCCCACTCTTCTTCTGTGTGCTGCATGCGAGTAGTGACACTGCTGCGGTCGTCTGTTCAGCCTCATTTGACTGTAAGCACTGTTTGCTGCTGGAAGTGCTTCCCTACATGCACATTCCCAGGAGCAGAAGTACGTAGTAACAAGTGTGATGCTGTGACTGAGAGTAAAGTAGTAGGCAGCACAGCAGCAGAATGCCATTTTGAATTCAAGCTCTCCTTATAAAGTGATTCAAATCTGTTTTCAAAGATCCTAATCAATATGGATGAGGATTATCTTCTACATATCTGTCTATTTCTGTGTGACTTCAGCCAGACTGTTGTATCTCTCCTTTTCCATCTTATATGTTCTCAAAATGCCAGCCTAGTTCTGTGCCTGATGCAATGGAGAAAGCCCCTGAAAAGTCTCACAAGCCTTTGGTTAATCAACTTTAACACTTTCCTACAGATTTAGCTTAAAAAAATGTAAATTGACAGATAGGATTAAAACCTCCACTTCTGCGAGGAGCAGATGGTTCTGGAGATCACTCCAATTCATGCTTGGTGGGTGTTGTTTAGCAGGTAAACATAAGATCTGATTACAAAAGCCTTTTGGAAGTTTACGGCCATTGCCATGCTCATCAGACCCCCGTGTTTAGAAGAAGCAGTATTTTAACCACTTTTGTGTCCAGGAGGAATATCAGACAATTGTAATCTGCCAGAGACATTTCTATGTAACATTGATGCTTTAGATTTGAACGTTTATATCCTTTATGCATTTTCTTTAACGTATTAAATATGATGGGTGTCATATATGCTAGCTCTGAACTCAACTCCTAAAAACTTAACTCTTGTACCAGCAGACTGTGCACTGAATTTAGTATTTTTACATGGAATAAATCCAAACTATTAATGTACAAAATACATCACTGTTGTAATTTACTATAAACATAGTGTTTTTCAGGTGCACAACTGTTCCGTGATCATAAGCCCCTATATTGAAGTGCTTAAATATTCCACTGGGAACTGTACTGATCATAGGTGAAAAATCAGCATCGTCTTAGAGAGCGATCTTTGCTTTTCCAGTCTTCTGAGTCTGCCTTTTCTCTTCCTGCAGCTTGTGGATGTGACCTGGCTCAAGGAGGATTTTTTGTGAGACAGGGAGACTACATCTGTACTTTGGACTACCAGAGACTCTATGGCACACGGTGCTTCAGTTGTGATGAATTCATTGAGGGAGAAGTGGTCTCAGCACTGGGCAAAACCTATCACCCAGACTGCTTCGTGTGTGCTGTCTGCAGGTATGTTTTCTACATGAAGCTGTGTTTTGTTTAAAAACTAGATTTTGAAAGACCAATGCCAGGCATTCAAACGTACAGCCTATAGATGGAAAATAAGATAGTTCTGTTTTCTATTATCCGCTCCTTAAAAAGTAGCAGAATTTTTTTTTTTAAATGCCTCTTTTTTTTTCAAATGCTTTTTCTGCTTTATGTTCTCTTATGTAGGAGGTTTTCAAAGTACTTGAGAAACCTCCACTGCCTCTACTGTCATACCTTTTTCCCCAAATGTTGATTTATTTTATGTTTTGTTGACTGAATTTACAAAGGATTCCAATGCCAGTGGCTGAGTCGAGTGGATACTGTATTAATAGATTTAAACTGAAGTTTCGCAGTGCTGCTTCTCAGAAACTCTGATAGTCATTTAAAATAGAACAGAGAGGTCCTGGACTCACAAACACATACATGTTGAATTTCATTGAGGATCTCCAGCAGCCATGGAGGTGATAAGTGACACAGCACACAAGATTTCGCCCCACTACAGCCCAGTGTAGCTCGGTGGGATCATTTCACACGTGGGTATGTGTGGCGTTGTGACCCAGTGTGGGTGGGCATGTTTGCAGACTGCAGTACAAACAATTGATGTCCGATTGACCTACATCATAATTCTCGTCTGTGGAAATAGCGCAAACAAATCTGTTGAAGACTTCAGGAAGAAACTTTAAGTCGACCAAGCCTTCAGAAAATCCACTGTTACAGCAGTTTGGAGCAAATGGAAACGCTGTAATAATTTCTCTGGCTAGTTTGAGCCTTTAGCAGTACAAGAAAAGTAACCCCACATTCAAAGGGAAAGCACAACAGGGCTCTGATGCACCACACTGTAGATCTATATGTGCTGATGCCTCATTCAGGTGAGTATGCAGTCCAAAACCAGCATGTCCATGTCCCTGTGGCTGTCTGCCAGCCAAATCTGCCCAGCCCGTAGGGCTGCCGAGCTCAGATGTCCTCCTGTGTTGATGCAGAAGCAGGACTTCAAATTCTAGAACAGACCCAGTTCATGGCAGGATCTCAATGTAATGTATCAATTGCAGGAGTAATTAAAAAGCCATGTTAAAGGGAAGACTCTGAGGCTGACAAGCCTTTATTATATCAAATTCTGTCTGTTCAGGATTTGCTGTGTTTAATAGGAGATTTTTTCTTTGGGGTACTTTAAACAATCAGGAAAAGTAAAGATAACAAAAAAGCCTAAAATCTTTTTTGTTTTGTTTTTAAATACGAGGAAAAATGATTTAATTGGGTAATTATGGATCTCATGAGTTAACTGCTGGCTGAACGTGCTCTTGGCCTGCAGCCTGTCGGTATTGTAGCTCTTGTGTAGATGAGCACAGCTAATACTTAGTACCGTCTGTAAAGTGAGGTACTTCTTCATTTAAGAGAAAACCAGGTTGATTCAGTTTTCTTGCTAAATGCGCCACACCATTATGTTTTAGCATTCAGGCATAAATTATTTACCTGTCTGTTACTTTACTTAGCAGCTTGGTACCTAATTTAGGTTTCAGTCAGGTCGTTGGATATATTAACCTTCTGCTGTATTTAGTCAGTACTTTGGCTGATAGTTTGGACTTGGTGGTACAATTTGTCCCATCTCCCTCGAAATTCAGTGTGATTTTCTGTATGACTAAACTATTTATTCTTAAAATTCAGGTGGACTGAATTGCAATACAGTGAAAATACTCACTAGAACATGCTACAAATATCATATGTATTGAAGACATGCTAAAGCTTTTGAAAATTAAGTCCTTCATACATCAGTATTTCATATTAAAAAATAATTCAGAGATGATCTCTAACCTTCTGTATTAACTAAATAGTTGGATTAAAAGCTGTTTTACTGATGAAGTTTCTAATTGCCACTCTCTAAAACTTCAGTAGGAATACACAGATCTACTTCTGTTGCTTTCCTTAGATGGACACACAAATTCATGTTGTCTTCATCAGTCAAGTAATGCCCTGCTGACTAGCAGGATTCAATTAGTGTCTCCCAGGGGGGTTGTAACACTGACATGTGGTGCAGAGCAACAGAAGAGCCCTATCATCTGTTTATAGTAAAAACCTGGACCAGGTCTTCAACTGCTTTAAATCAGCATTGCTTTAATTACCCCAGTCTTTGCAAGCCAGACATAATTTA